ACGACCCTGCCACAGCCAACTCAGGATCTCTGGCTCTAGAAGTGCTGTGGCAAACGTCGTACAAGGCTAAGCTGTTCTGAAATCCCTTCTCCTGACTGCCTGACAGGAAGATATTTGGTGCCGGTCTTTCAGCAACTGCAATATTTGCTTGCAGTTACCCCATTTACTATCAAAAACACAGCAACACGCTGACTGTAGAGCTCACTCTGAGTCTGCCGGGAAGAGGTTAATGTTTTTCATCTGCATGGCGGAAGGTTGCTTCCTGTTCCCAGCTGGAATTTGGTTGAAGCCATGAATCTGTCTCTGCTTCAGCCTTGGTGGAGCTGAGCCACACCTCGCACCTCCTGCGCTGGGCTTTGGCTGCGGGGAGCTCGCTGCCTGGCTTCTGCCTCCTCTAATCACCCGTGCATTCAGTGGTGCAATGCGCCACACGAGTGGGCATGGTGCAGCTAGCCCAGCCAGGAGGCATCTAAGCCTGCTCCAAATGGCTTTTCATGCTGCCTTTCTGGACTGTCCACTTTGCACGGGCAATGGGAAGGGAACACTTGCATTTATTGCAGGATTCCCTGCAAAGGCTGCAGCTCCAGAGAGTAAGCAAAGGGATAAAAGGGGTGCAAACTGTGGCAAAGCAAATCTAAATTAAACCCCTTAACTGCAGCTTCTGACAATCCATCATGCAAGCTCCCTACACCCCTGTTCATACACCCAGGGAACACGCTCTGGCCCCACATTAAGCGGCAGCGTGTCTGGGAAGATCCACTCCAGCACAGCCGGCTGTGTACATGCTGCAGCCTGCAGAAACTCCAGGCCACCGACATTAAAAATCTGCCTTTCCCCTCTAAGAAATGCTCTGCAGCAAAGTGACCTTCTGATAGCTCAGGAACATCTCCCAAACAGGAAGGGATGTCAGAATTGCCATTGCGAGTCAAAACAATAGTCTCTACCTACGTGCCGGCATCAAGATGTCCTCTGACGCAGGGCTCCGACCTGGCGGGGGGCGAGGAGGACGGACCTCTCTTCCCCTAACCCCCAGCCCGCTGATATGCGCAGGCTTCCTAGGCAAACAAACTGGCGCTGGCCTCTGCTCCCATTCCAGCTGCTGGCATCACAACAAAATCCCTGGGCGCATGGGACACATTTCGCTCGCTCTGAGGGGCAGGAGGAGCTAGTTTGCCCGAAAAGAGGAGGAAGAAGGTGGGTGCCTCTGCCTGGGCACCAGTGCTGTGCTGCTCCCAGGGACACGGGGCAGCCTTGGCCCTGCTGCCAGCCTGCTCCCTCCGCGGCCAGCTTGTTAGCTCAGATCTTCACCCGAAATGTCAAGAAAAATAGTAGAGAAATTAACAAAAAGCCCTCTGACTTAACCCAATTGGAATATTTATTTTGAAAAATTTATTGAATTACAGAACAGGAAACCCACTAAATAAAGCCAGCCAGGCTGGCATTTGTCTTCCTTGGAGTACGGCACTCTCTTTTAGTCATGTTAATATTTAGTTTCTCTTTTTTCCGTTTTTATGTATTTATTTTTACAAAGGGGCTGGGATGTGACTAAGATCATTACATGTGTAACACTGCAGCAAAGTGATAATGTGTTTAAGGTTAAATGGGAGAAACATGACATTTGACTAATAAACTTTTTCCTGTGTTGTGACTCCACAAACAAAGGGAAACACACTGTGCTGCTGCTGCTGCTGCTGAGAGGAAAGGGGAGCTGGTTTGTTGTTTTTTTTTTTTTGCAAGGCCTTTGTTTCCTACACACTGTATCGTTACATTCAAAGAGCTTTTGCCGAATACAAGAGATATGAAATGTGTGATGTTCATTTTAAAATTACAAGTACAGCCTGCTATTGACCATCTAATTATGCTGAGTTCCATTTATAAACATAGCTAACCACTAAGTTTATAGAGACTTTTTGTGCTGCTTTAATAGGATATTGATCGAGAGCAAGGTTTGAGTGGACTGCCATTGAATTGTGTAATGGCATACAAAAGGCAAGGTCACGGCAACTGTTCACTCTATGCCTGCAGTCTATTTTTTATTATAATCTTTTTTCTTCCTCTCATACCTAAGCCCAAACAGTGTGTTTTGGATAGCAGTGCTTTGCTAAGGAATATAGAATATCTTTTAAATGTTAATTTTCATGTGGGTGACTTTAACTACCTTCACTACTGTAATGCTTAGTATAGCAGAAAACATACAGGCTGCTGTTTAGAGAGTGCTGGTTTATTATACCATGGCTTTCGCACACGTACTCTGCGTGGAGGAGAGCCTCTTCTCCTCTCGCGGGCTACAGGAAGGCAGCAGCATCCTCCCTGCCCTCTGCAGCTGCCTGCCTGGCCCAGACCCACAGCAGGAGCTGGGGCACCCCACACCTTGCCATAGGCACCCAGTACGTGCTGGGGATGGCAGGATTTTCCCTGAAGTTTGTTTTTGGCTGTACCTGCCACAGGATGAAAGGCGTGAGGAAGCTGTGTTTCCTTCGTCGCACCCATGCTCCGTGCCTGGAGCGGCGACAATTACTTTCATTTCTAGCGCTCATCCGCCTGCCTCCATTGCTAAAGCAGCCGTTAACCAAACCTGGCACCCGCCCCATCCAGCAGCCTCGGTGTTGCAGGATCCAGAGCTTTTCAAAACGCCTTGGCCACAGAAGCACCTCTTACCTGTGGAATTAGCGTAACTGTCTCAGGGATAATTAGCTGGACCGTTTCTGTGTTTATACAGGAGCCGTAAGCAACTGCACGTATGCTTGTGTGCTTGTGGTTTCACTGGCTCATTAGAAGGATTAAAAGTCACCCCACTTGCTCCGTACAGCTCCATACTGCACACAGCTAACATCTTAAACCTCAAAGCGTGGCATTTTCCGTCCAGGGTGCAGTCAGAATTCCCTTGTTTATCAGCATGAAGAATGATGTCATTTTGACAAATAACACAGCACAAAACAAATATGTTTGATTTGGCTCTAGCGAATGTTCATAAATCCTAAATCTTTCTTCACATCCTGGGCAGTGCAGTTTATCTGGCTGCTTAAAGGACCTCCAGGGGAGGAGATCTTCCCAGCAGCTCTCTGCACAAGCGCGCATGGTGCAGACTCAAAGCCAAGAGGGGAACTGTATTCCCCATGCCCCTCGTCCTGCTCCAGCCTGCCACGGCCCCCCAGCCTCTGCTGGCCGAATGGGACTGTACGCTCAGCGGTGGCTTGGCACCACAGCCACCCCTCTGCCGGCACCTTTTGCAGCGGGGATTCTCCAGTGCCCTGCAGATAGTGAGTGGACTATGGCACAGAGTGAGTGGAATATTTTCCTAACAAGGGTAGAGAGGGAGAAGGTTTTTCTTTGCCAACAGCTGGCTGTCAGTTCACAAAAATTGTACATCTCCGACGCTTCTGCTTCAGAGCCTTTTGTTGTGAGCCCAAATCTCTCCAGAGATGGAAGAGCGAAGTCTCTGTTATCTGAAGGGGTCTCCCCAGTATCTGGGGTGAGAGACAACACTTAGAAAGGAGCTCACACCCTTTGCCTGCTAATAACGTTGGAGCACTGACAGCATGGTCTGCAACATCCATATCAGATGGGGTGGAGAGGGAACTATCTATCCGTTTTTCAGATGAACATTTATGATCTCCTTTCTCTGTTTTACTAGGCTCTGCGAGATTCAGTAGCTGGGTAGTATTTCGAAATAAAATCTGCATCTATGAGACTGAAGAAAGCAAGTTTCTGTTACCAAAACAGTCTAGACTTGTTCAATAGCTCATAGAAACTGTGATGATCAGCACTGATAGGCAAGATAGATAATGGTAACAGCTGACCTTTTGCTTGATTAATTCATTCCCCAAATTTGCATGACGGAGGCAACTGCCTATTACTTGAGAATCCTTGTCATGTGGAGCTCTGGGGACTTCACTAAATAAACCTGGCACGTAATTGCTACCAACACTATTTCATAAGAGCAATTTTAGGTAAACGGCAGCAAGCCACAGGCCAGTTAAAACTGTGGGAAATCACTTATTTCTATCATATTATCAACAGCAAGCATGGAAAGAAAAATTACAATGGGCATACACAAAGATGACCTCTTTGTAAAGCAAACACAGAGCACACTCGGGAAGATAGCAGAGACTAAACGTGAGGGCCCACTATGGACAGGCAGGCTTGTCCCTTCCCTAGCCATGGTGGCTTCTGAAGGAGCAATGACTTTTCAGAAAGTAAAAACAAGAGAATGGACTGAGGACATTTTGATTACTCAAGCTATAGACTGTTAGTAGCTGCTGGTGGCTGTTCATAAGCTGAGCTCCCCAGAATGAAAGTAACCCACGTAGTGGTCTCAAATTGAGACACGGGAACATACAGAGAACTCAGCAAGGGTTATATTGAAAAGCACTCTCCTTAAAAGACCTTGCCTGCCAATTTAGGCAAATACGCAGCAATTACTTTGTTGCTCTGTTATGTTAAACAATTCCTTGAATATTAGTATGCGAATTCATACTGACTTCGCTGGGAATTTGTTGCTAGACTCTACACTAAACATATCCTGCTGGGTTGCCACGGCATGTCAGGCTGTGGGCTTCTCAGACCTCACAAAGTAAACAAGGTTACGGCTGGTCAGTACATGTCTGGGGCATCTCCAAGGAAAATCCAGGGTGCTATCAAAAGCAGTGTAGCTAAATCAGTTGCTGGCACTCTTCCCTCTGAGTCAGTTCTGAAGTGATATCCCGATATGCTTTGGGGACACTATTTTTGGTAGAGGTGCTGGCTTGCAGACAGGATATAAAACTGAGGTCTTGACCTCCCAGGATTATTAAAGAGCCCATGAAAAAGAGTGCAAACCCCTGTGCCGGGAACAGATAAAAGCTGAATCTTTTCATTTTGCCCACCAACACCTCCTTTCTTACTTCTGATAAAGTTCATGCCCGTCCTGCTCTTCCTGCACACAGGTGCCCTACCCTTGGAGCTGATGCATTTCAATGGCAAGCAGAGGGAACATCTCGGACATAGCGCGCAGTTTGCAAAACATGCTGAATGCTAAGATTTTTGATACACAGTATTTTAGTTTAGTTACAGTAAAATATAATGGAAGATTAATTGGCATGAAACATGATGCTCATGAGGTCAATGCCAAACTCTCAGGGAAGCTGGGACTGGGGCTGGCTGTGAAGGCTGAAGTCCTGAACGGGGGCACTTTTCTAGCAGTCCTGTCCTGTACACATAAGCACGGCTGACAGAGTCCAGAGGCAGTTCTGCTGCGTAGGGCTCCTACAGTGAAGATAAGATTGTGGCGAAATGGGATGCCTTGCAGAGGGGGAGGGTGGATCCTTTTGGCTTCAAAAGCCTTACAGTGTCACACTGAAATAAAGTGACATAACACGGAGACGTTCAAAGACTGGCGATAACTTGGTTTTGTCCACCACGGCTGCAGGTACCAGCAAGTTACAGTACAGTGAGTTATATGTCAAAGTCCCTACTTAAGCACTTCAGTAAGTGAACTGATTTGCAAATGTGCTGAGCACTCAACAGCTCCTCTTGACTTCCAAGTCCTCTTAACTTGTCCTTCTCACAAAATTCCCACCAGTTGTTAGGGAAGAAAACTGAGGAGAAACGTCTGCTGCCTTAAACTTTTTCTCCCTCTGTCTCTCTCTCCAGCACATACAACTCTGACATTCATGTATCATCTCCCACTTGCCATGCTTTCCTTGTAGCATCCTATTTTTGAATAGAAAGTCAATTTACTAGGTAGTGTAAGTCTTTCCAAAAGAGGTAATAAAACGGGAAAATCCTTACAGAAACTCTGTGTTCTGACTCAAAACCACAGATTCTCTGCTAGGTTTGTGCCAGTTAGATTCCAGCCCCAGAAGGACTTAAACTACATGCTCAGAGCCAATACATAAACAAACATTCCTG